GAGATCAGGTGAGGAGAAGGTCCTTCCACACGGAACGGGAGGAAGGGGCGGGGGTGGGAGGGCAGGGGAGGGGCCGTGTGCCACCCTTTCTCTAGAAACCTCCTAGGAAGAGCAGGGCTGAGGCTGCAGCTCTCCAACAGCCTTCTTCCTGCATTGCAGGCTCTGTGTCCAGACCAGGGGCCTGACACAGCGTTGGGGGCTGGGAGGGTCTCTCAGGGCCACGGGGCCACGGGGAGGCTGACCGGGCTAGGAAACAGGAGCTGGGCATGCGAAGGCTTCCGGAAAGAATCCTCCTCTCCGTCCACACACAACCCATTTCAGCCCTCCCAAACCCAACTGAGGCTGAAGAAGACAAGAAGGAGGGGTGGGCACAGGAGGCAGCCCCTATTTTCTGACCAGAAGCCTTGGGATTCAGGACGAACAGAAAGAGTACGGATTCCGGAATCCAACTTCACTGCTTCCACGCTGGGTGTCTTTGGGGAAGTCACCTAAGCTTTCTGTGCCACAGTATCCTCCTCAGTCAAATGGCGATGATGATGATAATATCATCTGCCTCAGGGGCGTTGTGAGGACTGAATGAATTGATGTATATACAGCACTTAGCTCCAGGCATAACTATTTCTCAGGATTATGGTTATTGTCAGTTGGGGTTGACCGAGTCAGCTCGTTTACCCCAACCATTTCTTGGGGCAGGTTGAGGGACTCTGACCGCGTGTCATAAGCATAACTTACAGATCCAGCCAGGACCACGTGGATCTCGAGTCCACCTCCCATAGATACAGATGGGGAAACTGAGGCACAGAGGGGCCACTTGACTTGCCCAAGGTCGCAGACAGGTTGGCAGGGGCAGGGCTGAGAGCAGATCTCAGCTTGTTCTTTACAAGCTGTTTAAGATTATTCCCACCTAGGGGCGCCTGGGGGGCTCAGTCGGTTCAGCGGCCGACTTCGGCTCAGGTCATGATCTCATGGTTTGTGAGTTCGAGCCCCATGTCGGGCTCTGTGCTGACAGCTTGGGACCTGGAGCCTGCTTCCGATTCTGTGTCTCCCTCTCTCTCTGCCCTTCCCTCTCTCTCTCAAAAATAAATAAATTAAAAAAAAACCTTAAAAATTATTCCCATCTGATTCTACCCCTTTCCCAACCAACACTTCCACTGGTTGGAATCCCATTTGGACTTTCTGGGGGACAGTGAGACTTCTTCCCCTGAATCAGAGATACCATGGCTTGATTCCACACTGCCCCCCTGGTGTGGGGGGGGGGGCGGATGAGACAGGGATGGGGTCCTCTGGGGGACTATCCTTCCTGAGAGCTGTGGAAGGAAGCAGTGAGCCCACAGAGCCTCCATCCAGAGACCTGGAGCCATGAGAAGTAAGCCCGCTCTGGGGGGGAAAGCCAAGGGGCCGTGGACCCAAGGCAGGGAGAGCTCTGTGGGAAGAAAGCCAGTTTTCCTGAGAAAAAGGGAAGCCTCTTGGTTAGGAGAACCCCAAGAGGCCAGGAGCCCCTGAGAGGGGGCACCCACCTGGAGGCACCCCGGAAGAGATGGTTGACGCAGACACTTGGCCCTGGCCCTTGGCAGTCATGGCGGCCACCTCGATGGTGTAGGTGGTGAGCGCAGTGAGGCCCGTGACGCGGTACTCCAGGGTCACGTTGGGTAGATAGTGGGTCACTCGGGTGTTGGTTCGGTTATATTCCTCCCAGGAGATCCGGTACCCTGGGGAGAGCCCCGAATGGTAGCATGAGTTTGGCTGTGACCCAAAGCTGGCTTTGGCCCTCTTCCTCTGCTTCTCCCTTCTTCACTAGTCTGGCAGTTAGACATGCGTTGATAGCAATGGGGCCGAGGGAGCTGGGGACATCGTGCTTGGGGCCCCAGGTGTAACCTCTGTGGAATGCCTCTATTGGGTGGGGACTGTGGGAGGGGGTGAGTTATCATGGCGGCCGCTTGAGGCCTGTGGCAGGTGAGCTGGGTTGACCTGGGCGCTGATGGGCTGAGAGCCTCCTCTGAGTACTTTCTAAGAAAGAGTGGTCTGCTGGGAGGTTTTGGACGAGCACTGGTCAAAGGCGGGGGGATGGATTAAATGGCCCTGTCTCACCCCCTGGTTCAGTAACACCGAGATGCCTACCTGTGAGGATGCCATTCTTCTCTCCTGGCTCTTGCCAGCTGACCTTCAGCGAGGTGTCTAGGATTTCACTGAAGCTCAGGTGTCCCACAGGTCCAGGCACTGTACCCCAAAAGGACCCCCACCCCACCCAATGCCAATCAGATCCAGAGAGAGGCCACTGTCTTCAAGACGGCCAGTGGTGCTCCAGGGGCACCCCAGGATGGGAAACAAGGGCGGGATCCCCCTGTGCCTGGAGCGCTCAGCCTGGCTCTTGGGTAGGGGAGTGGTAGGGGGCAGGGACCGCAGGGGTTGGGCGGTGCCTACCGTCCTCATGGGTGCGCACCAGCTGCGGGGTGCTCCGAGGCCCATCTCCGGGAGTGGTGAAACACAGCACAGAGGTGAAGTACTCGGTGAACTTCTTCAGTCCAGACACGAAGCCCACGTGGATGCTGTCTTGAAAGTTGGGCCGGGCAGTCACCATGGTAACCTCTTCTTCCTGCTCAGGCTCCCAGGCAATCAGCTGGGGAGAGGCCGGCAATTCAGGCAGGGCAGCAAGAACGTTCCAGAAGAGGCCGAGCACTCTCCCACAGTCTGGGCCAATGGACAGAGAGAGTCTAGGAGCCCAGCTCCCTAGGGTCCCTCCTCCCAGGGAAGGGGTGGCCATGCAGCCACCCACAGGCCACGAGCATCTGTCCCTCTGGGAGTTTGCTTTGGGGCACTGTTCTTTCACTGAGCGAACTTGCTCTCCACGAGCGGTCTCTCACGAGGGAGGTCTTTACCAGATCAGCTACAGAACTTGCAGGTTCAGTGCAAAGTGAAAAGGGAGGGTCCCCTCGTTGAACAAGTTTTAAGAAATGCAAGGTGAAGGGGGGTCCCTCTGAGCGTGGAGCCCGCCCTGTGTGTTACGGATGAGCTCAGAGAGGCTCAGTGACTCCCACTATACCACACAGCCAGTGGGGAGCTCAAGGGCTCTGATTCCAATACCGAGGCTCCTATGGCTTTCTCCCTCTGGGCCGGGCAGGGTCTCCCTTGGGGTCCCCCCGCCACCCAGAGCTGCCTCCTCAGCTACCCCTTTCCTCTAGTTCCAAGTTGGGATTTCAGTCGGAGGGACTGGAGGTGCCTCAGTCGGGGGGACTGGAGGGACTGCACGACCTGGAGGTGGAGCTTCAGCGAGAAAACCCCGTCTGGAGGTTCAGCCTGGCTTCCTGTCTGCCCTCCCTCTGCACACCCCGCCTGGAATGGACGTGCCCCCTGCCTCCCTTTCCTTCTCTTCTTGCCTCTTGAACTGTCCCCTCACACGCCTGGTTTCTGGGCCCTTCATCTGTCTCCAGCAATGACAGCTGGTCTCAGAGAGTTCCTCGTGTATTTGAAGTTGATTAACTAGCAATTAATGGTGAAAAGCAATACTTGATGAGTTTTAATAAGCACCGGTATTTATAGATATAAAACAATACCACACTGATGTCTCCTGATTAACTGGCCCCTATAACAATGCTTCATCTTCTTTCTGTGGCCGCGTGTTTATAAAGGATGTTTTGAAATTTAATTGGTATTGTGAAAAGATAGCCTATAGCAAGTTAATTAGACACTAATTAGACCCTAAAAATACTAATCAGAAATACTAAGTGGCATTTAATAAGTATGTTAAATATCCTCCTTATTGCGGTTATCTTGTTTCATAGCAATTAAATTGCCGAACTTCTTTGGAGTAGATTAAGAAACAAGTTTAATGTTTTAATTTAATTTAATTAATGTAAATTTGAATTAATTACGCCATTAGAATTAATTGTGTGGTGTGTTCCACGGCAAGTGCAAAATCTGGGTAAATATTATTTTATTGGGTTCAGGCCAATTATAGTCACGACCGTTATTTCCGGAAGAAAGGACAAAGAATCTCTTTATAGGTGCCTTAAAACAGTATCACTGGGAACCGTCTTCAAAAATGACCCAGAAGCGCCCAGGGTGATGGCTGGGTGGTTTTCTGAGCGATTTCACCATCTTATGGTTCCAGGCCCGAAGCCCAAGATGGCGGCAGGACCAAGGCTGCTTCAGAATATTTACTCTGCGATGCGAGTCGCCAGTCGTTTAGCTGCGTCTGAAGAGGAGGAGGCTGGGGGTCAGGAGCCTTCTCCCTCAGGCCAGCAGGACAACAGCTGCCTTCTGCACCTCCTATTCCCTGAAAGGAGGTGGGCTCTGGGCAGCCCCGGGTGGAGCTCTGCTAGGAGTTCCTACTCTGCATCTGGCCTTGGGGTGAGCCCATCCCCCACCAGTCCCATTGCATCACCGCAGCAAGGACTGGATGGGAATCACAGCCCTGTGCTGTTGCAGAAAGGGAACCGAGGACCACGAAGGTTGGGCCTGGTCGGTGCACATGGACCGGCCAGGGGCTGGCTTCAGATTTGTGGGCCTCCCACCCCTAGACCCAGGATGGAGGCCTGTCTCTCAAAGGTCCACACAGCCGTTAGGTGAGCGTCGGGGTGTCTGCGTGTCTGCTCTCGTTAGCCAGGGTCGGTGTTGATTTACTCTATCAGGCCGTTGGGCTCAGAGTCCGACAGACCGGGCTGTCCTCAGCATGGGTGGGGGGTACGGGAGCCTGCGTGCTGGGGGAAAAGCACCCGATCTAGGTTCCTGGGACAGGCAGCGCCCCCTTGGAGAGTGGAAGCCCTGTCATTGAAGGGTGCTGGTGTCGGAGGCGTGTGTTTACGTGTGGGGAGCAGAGTGTGCATCCAAAGCAGGGAGGAAGAAAAGCAGAACCCAGCGCTGTCACTTACTGTGTGACCCTGGGAAAGTCACGCAACCTCTCCGAGCCTCAGGCTATTACAGGGAGCAGTGATAGCTGCCTTGCCGGCTGGCAGGAGGAGGGATGAAGTGAGTCCGTGTGCTACGGGGCTCGTGCTATTACATGGCCTGCTAGCTTACTGGAGCTAGCAAAAAAGTAGAGAGATTCTCTTTCCCTCTCCTTTTGTCTTTCCTTCTCTCTCTCTCTCTCTGCATGTGCATGGGTTTGCACAGAACGTTCTGGAAGGATTCGTAGGAAATTAACAACAGTGTTTGCCAGGAGTGGGGAGAGTTTCAGGGGTGGGACAGAAGCAGGCGTATGAAGAGCTGGAACTGGATGCAGGATTTCTGCTACACATCTATCTTTTTACTTTTGAATCACGTAAATATACTTCCTGTTTAAGAAATTAAATTCAAAAATTAAAAAAAAATAATGGAAGGATTTGGCAAGAGGGGCAAAATTATATGTACGCTTATCCTTTGATCCAGCAACCTCCTTTCTATGAATCTATTCCAAAGTTAAACGTGAAATATATGAAAAGATATATAGGCACAGAGCTATTTCACTGCAGAAATGTTTATTATAGTAAAAGACCGGAAACAATCCAAATGTCATCCCTGAGGAGCTGGTTGACAAAACTATGGGAAAGCCACTTGATGGAGTCCAATACAGATGTCAAAAAGGGAACCAGGAATCTCTATACTCCTGTGAAGTGATCCCCAGGATATACTGTAAATAAAGAAGCAGGATGGAAAAAAGTGTGTAGAGAACGCTGCCATTTATCTAGGAAGGAGAGGATACACATTTATATATGTATGCATTTGTTTATGTTAAAGAAACGAGGGGCTCCTGGGTGGCTCAGTCAGTTAAGCATCCGACTCTTGGTATCAGCTCAGGTCATGATCTCACAGTCGTGGGATCGAGCCCCATGTCAGGCTCTGCGCCGAGCGGAGCCTGCTTGGGATTCTCTGTCTCCCTGTCTCTCTGCCTATCCCCCACTCACTCTCTCTCAA